TTCCAGAAAATACAGCTGCGATATCGATTCCAGCCAACTGAGCTTCCTGACAAAGTGCATTCCATGGCGACCATTGTTTTCCCCAAGGAAACCATCCCTCTCTGTTTACATGGAAGGGGTTTAATCCTGCCGTCAGAAAAAGGCTTGTGTAATGATTTTCATTGCAATGAGGCTGTAACACTCAGCAGCACCTCCTCGGGCCTCATGTGGGGAAATCCTCGCCCCTGTCCGCACCCTGTCCAGAAGCCACTCAGCCCCTTGCTCCAGTCAGTCACTCTGCAACTGCTGTCCTGCTAGTCCAGAGCTGCAGTGCCTCTCTTTCGTGGCTTAGCCCTCCAGCCAAGTCACCACCATTCTCTCCTTCTGGGATATTATCCTCTCCTTCTGGGATATTATCCTCAAAGTCTCAGGCAGTCTCCTCTGTGCTGACTCTGCCACTCTTGCAGTGGTTGGTAGGGGAATCCGGGCTCACCCTCTGCCCCGGGTTCCAATCCAGGATCCCTCAAACCAGCGGTTCAGATCTATCCCTCTCAGACCTGACTGTTTCCTACCCTGCCTTTCTCAGGCTCCTGCTCTCCCCCTTGTCTCAGGGAGTGTGACCGCAGACTCACCTGACTGCAGCCCCCTATCTACTGCTAACTTCCTCTCTGTATAGACCCTGCCCAGCTCCTCCCCTAGCTGGACTTCATCAGCAATTAGGCCCTAGCACTCCCTGGCTTCCCTCCAGGTGCAGCCAAGAGGTTAATTGGCCTAATTTACCCCTTCAGGCCTCGTGTGGGGGTGGATACCCCATCACAGGGGCATAGAGTGCTCAGACATGAAAATTAAAGTAGATATATTAGACAAATATTCTCCCGTCGCTTCCAAGAAATCATCCTTTTCTAGGAGAATGCCAAGCCTCACAAAAGAAAAGCTGTTGCAAGGTTGCCTGTCTACAATGGGTCATTTTATTTGACTCAAGGATAGAAGCATATCTAGTTACCTAAAGGTGACAACAAGAACTGTCAAGCTGGAGTGAGAGTTCATCTCTCCTAGTGCAACTCCATTACATGAAAACTGATGCTCAAGTCTCCATCTTGAGGAGTTGTGATGGGTAGCAGTTGATTGGATTATTTGATTTGCTGTTGTGAGGTGAGACACACTTTATACTGTTAATAAATAATTAAAAGACGTTGTAAACATGTTACAGTCTTGAGTCATGTGTGTTATAGGGGGTTGTTACCACATCAGTAGAAGGTGTTACAGTGGTCATAAGCAATCCATTGCCCTTAACAGTTGAGTAATCATTTAATAAAACATTTGTTAACCCTTCTTAACCCTTTATAAACTCAACCTTCTTGTCAGGCCTGCTGGGTTTTAAGACCAGCAGATCTTATGGTCATGCCTTCTATTAAGGCTCCATTTGTAAATAGTGTATAAAAGATTAATAAATGATTAACATATGTTTAGTACATTTTAATAATTCCTAATTAAGAAAAGGATTTTTTTTTGCAGATGGGCTGAAAAACAAATCCCTGTAACAAGTGTCCTTTTATATGTGAACATTTGGCCCATTTTAGATGTAGGTTTAAGAACTTTTCTGCTTTCAAAGGTACATTTCCTGTTTTCAGACCAGTCCAGTCCTGTCACTGAGAAGCACCATCTGTCCTTCATGTTGAATGCAGGTATTTTCCATGCTAAAAACATCCAGCTGCGTCAGTTTATTTCTTTTTTCGGCTAGATTCCACTTTAGTTGGTGTATTTAATACCACCAGCTATTAAATATATTGGAGCCTGTGAGAAACAGCTTCTAATCAAAATCCAAACAAGAATTATTGTACAAAAAAACTAGCGATTCTGGGTCAGCCACTGGCAGCTCTGCAGGAGCCTAGGGGCTGGATTCTGATCTCAGTTACACCAGTGTAAATCCATACTACTGTCATTAATTGAGCCAGTCAGACTACTTGCTGTTCTAGTTTAGGGTCAGGAAAGGATGGGAGTGGTCCAAAGGCAACAAGCAAAGGGGAAGTGTCAGCATGGTCAAAAGGCCAGGAAGGGAATCTTCTCCAGACCTCCTTCCCCATAATTACAATGTGAGGATCTCAGAGGAGAGCAGACAGGTTTAGAGAGAAGTATTGGAGAAGGTCCTCAGAACTCAGACAAGGAGGCAGACACTCCTTCCAACCCTAGGAGAAAATGTTGTTTCAGAAAAACTGTGAGGGAGGGCTGTGAAGAAGCGATAATTGATGCTGTGAGCAGAAATGGCCCAGGAGTCTTCTTCCGTTCTCCATCCACAGCTACACAAGCACACAGCGCCCTGGGTGGCACTTGTAGCCTGCAGTTTACATTAAAAGCAAGATCAGTACTTTTCCCTCCTTCCGTTACATGGGCGATGCCAGATTTGGCCTTACTGTTTTGAAGCACTCCATGTTCTAGTTTCCTGGGACAGTCAGACTACTGAGAATAACACATGATGGTCTCATTACTCTGGGGCAGCAACAGAATTCCAGAATTTGATTGGGCTACAGGTCATGTATAAAAACCGTAACCTCTCCAGTTTATAGCAGCAATACGAATAATGAAAGGTTCTCATTATTATAATTTAGTTTCATTCCAGTGGTTTCCAGAGGTCCCATTGTGCTGGGCTCTGAACAAGCACGAAATAAGAGACAAGCCCCTCCAGCACAGATGCCCACTTCATAACTGTCGGTATTAAATATGCCAGTTGAAGTGGAATCTAGCGGAAAAAGAAATAGTGCCTGCACAGAGGGATCTGCCTTGATGTGGTTTATTGCAGGATTGTGACTGCCAAATACCAGAATTGAGCTCCTCTTTCCAGTCAAATTCTACTCTCAGTTGCACTGTGGGACTGAAATCAGTGGAGTTATTGTGGATCTACACCTGTGTCACGAGCACAGAGTTTGGGCCAGCAGGCGGTCAATTTGTTTTTCCTGGGTGTATCTGTAGAACTCCGTGAATGCCTTAGGAGTCCTGTGCCATGTAGTTCTTGAGCTTTTAGCCATCCCTTGCATTTGCAATTCCTAATTCTCTTACAAATGTGCCACTTTATAATCCAGCTGAGAGGATGTGAGTGCTGAAAGATGGCTGGTGATACACTGTGTACCATTATTTCCCTGTTGGCACTTGAGTAAATTACATTGTCACGGAAAATTCTCATTTGAATTGCTCATTGGATTAAGGACAGTTTTACAAATCAGAAAGAAATCCAGCTGTTAAAACACAAGGCCCACATTGTTAGAGGTGTATGAACTTTTATCCTCAGAATTATTTTCTGCTCTGCAAATCATTTGCAGTAATGGACTAATGCTTTTGCTTTGCTCTGTATACATTTGTAGACCCAGCTGAGTAATTAAGAGCTGGAAATCAGCCCACTTAAGGAAGAACACTGCGCTTTCAGCTGTCCCCTTGGATCCCAGTAACAAGTAGAGTTATGCTATTGGAAATATTCCGGCTCGAAATGAAAATAAACACACCCAGACAAACATTAGAAATGTCCTCATTCGAAGTATCTTTTAAAGATGCTTGTAGTGTGTAAAGTGACTACAAAGAATCTTAAACTGCGCGAAATGATTTGCCTTTTGGAGGCCTATTGATTCTAACTGACCTTTGCTAATGATTTATTTGCACAGAATGAGCCAAATTCTTCCCTTCTGTAACTCCATTGATTTGAGTGGAGGACTAAATTTGGCTCAGTTACTTTATAATGCTCTGTTGCTAGTAGTGCACTATGGGAATACTGCTTTAATAGACTGCAGCATCTACCCAGCAAAAATTCTCTACATTAACTTGCTTTTATGTGATAATATAAAATAATTTTTTTAATGAAACTTATTCCGTGAGGCGTACCCAGGAAAGCATAAGCAGAATTTGAGACAGTCTTAGATTATTTAGGCTTTAAGGTTTTAACTGCATGGAGAAAATAAAAAAATCAGGAGCCTGAAGGGTTAAATTGCAGTAGCCTATGCTACCCACTGCACAATGGCCAGCCGCTTTGCTTCCAATTGGGAAGGTATTAACCTTCCAGTGAAGGAAAAGACTCTTGTACATTTCTCTCTCATTGAAATCCTAGTGCAAACACCTGGCCTTCCAGGTACGTGGCCCAGTTGAAGCAGAGAGTTTTGACTCAACCAGCCTGAGTCCGGAACTGAATTCTCCAATATGCCAGTTAGAAAAAAACAATTAAAGTACCTAAAGGAACAAACAAAAACAGCTCTGACGGACTCATATGAGCATAAAGGGAGGAAGGATGATCCAGTGGTTAGGAGTTTATCCCAGGACTCGGGAGAGATGAGTTTGATTCCCTGCTTCTGGGTGACTTTGAGTAACTCGCTTAATCTCTGCACATCAGTTCTCCAGCTGCCCAGTGGGGATAATAGCAATTCCCTACCTCACAAGGCTGTTAGGAGGATAAATTCATTAACAACTGTGAGATGCTTGCATACGCTGGGTGGATGGGAGCCTTAGTTAGATAAACAGAACCAAGAGCCTTAGCACTAGATCGTTGAGATCCCCTTTAATGACATAAACTGACCATGCCAATTTGCACTATTAGATTCCATCTTTGTTTCCTTTATGCAGCCTAATAACAGTACGGGGGAAAGGACATTTTTATCCTGGAATTTCTTTCACAATAGTTGGGAAATCAAATTATGGGTCAGGAGAAAAAGGCCTTTCCCCATCTTATTCATGCAGGAATCACACAGGAGTCAATCAGAGGAAGGTACATTCTCATGGTATAATGAAGAGACAAGTAAGAAAGTTGGGGTGGGAGTGGCAGGCTTTGTAATGCTCTCAGTCTCTGAGTATGTCACCCTTTGATCAAACACCTTCTTCTGGAATGAGGAGTGGGCTAAAAACAGTGATGTAATGGTCTTACTTGGCTTTTACATTGCTGGAGATGTCGTTTAGAAACTGCCGTTTAGGGCTACAGAACAATTAGCAGAGATTAACTCTATTCTTCAAACTTCTCACATAGTTTTAATAAAATTCCTTCTTTTCAGATCCAGTTAAACAGCCGAGGACTTATCTATTCCGTCGGCTTGCTGCTGGCATCAGTTTTTGTCACCGTATGTATATAATCTCTTGTTTTTCATTTCCAAGATAGTAATTTTATAGACGTTTGCTTTTTCTCCACGTGTTCCTTTTCTCTTAGAGTCCTACTGTAAAATTTCCAGGGGCCTAATCTGGTACTTTGCAAGCAATTATTTGGCCCTGACACAAGATGGCTGATACATTGTGTATTTTTTCCTGAGAGGAGCCCCGGGAAATTCACTAGTAATCGTTGGTCACTTTCCGGGATAGAAATGAAGCCAGACTTACTCTTGTGCACAATCCACTCTCCAGCTGGGCAGATATGAGTTTGCCATAAAAAACAACAAAACTGACATGTTCATATTCAAGCATCAGGCTGTTTAAAGCATACAGAGGTGTTTGCACCTGCAAATTGCAGGCCCAGGTACACAGGTGAAAGCTGTTTTAGACACACAGAAGGGAGCTGGCCGTTGAAAAGTTTAAGGGGTATGAATCTCTTGGAATTAAATGGAATTGTTCTTGCCAGAATGAACTGACTATTAAAATATTGGGCCAGATCATTAGCTGGTGTTAATCAGTGCAGCTGATGTAGCTACGCCAGTTTACTCCAGCAGTACGTCTCGCCCACTGTATAATAATATCCTAAAATGATAAATTGCAATTGAGAACAGAATATTCTTCAAGCAAATCAATGGCACTCAGCAACGGAAAAGTAAATTTCATGGTCACGCTATTGAGAAAGGTGCTTGCCACTGATTGTAAATGTTTTTGATGTTGCTGTTTACTCTGAGCAAATGACTGTGTGTATTGTAGGTACTTGGTGTCCACATGAACAAATGGAAGCTGGATAAGAAGCTGGGAATTGTGTGCCTTTTCCTGTACGGCATCTTCTTATGTTTCTCCATCATGACAGAATTCAATGTTTTCACTTTTGTGAACTTGCCGATGTGCAGAGATCACTGATTCAGGTGGCAGACTGTCGAGAGGTACTTCCTTCTTACCTGTGCAATACAAAACACGGCTGGCATCTCCAGAACACGGTGCACCCGACGGTCGTGAAATATATCCTGCTCACTGTTCATAGGATTCTCCTCCCATCTCGGTTTACCCTCTTCCAACCCCGAAACCTGGAAAAATCCTGCATCGATGTGAAGATAATTTTTTTTTCAACATTAATGTGATTTCCAAGTTCAGTTTTTGAACAGTGACTGGGATTCTAAATGAACTGGCTGCTATCTGGCGTTGAGCCAGGCAAAACTGGTCTGCTACAATTCCTTCCTTTTTAAGTTATTTGGTGGAAGACTAATCTAATTTATGATTTAAGACTATTGCTAGAATGCAGAAGAAGAGGGTACATTGTATATGGGGTGTTTTTCAAGCAGAACTGTGGGAATCTTTTATTTTTATTTTTTTCAGAGATCAACAGCCTCTCTTTGCAACTTCTTCTGAGCGCTGGATTTCGTGTAATGATCCAAAGGTCACAAGTGCAGTGTATTATGGGAACTCAATTTGAAATACTCAGCATATGAGTGGATTGACTGTTTATTAAAAAAAATGACTGGCAAGGCAGTGGATAACAACTTTATACTATGATTAATGCATCTCTTAAAGGTGTTGTAAGGAATGCAAGGTGAACATGGATTCAAAGGGTAAACACTGCTACCATTTTCATTATTAATGTCAGAGTTTTATTGCTAGGTTATTTATATGTCCTAGGTTATAAGCAATGGTTTAGGACTGCCAGCCTCACAAGGACTAACGAGGAGGGGTCCTGGTTTTTAATGATCCACACATTGCGATGCAAAGTCAGAAGCTTCAGAAGATCATCCAACTTCTTGTAGCTTTTTGGGGGAGTGTGTAGTTTTATGTCTTTTTCGTTGTGAGAGGGACATAAGCACAGTCACACATTCTCAAAATGAGTTGTAGACACTGGTTTCTTTAAAAGGAAAGAGGCATATTTTGCACCGACATTGTTACTGAAGTCATAATTTGCCACTCTTTAAAGAATACACTGGACCTGGCCAAAAATTTTTACAGCTGAACTTACCTGATATCAGATTGTTGTGGATTTATTCCACCTCCTTCTGGAGGAAGAAAGAGAGAGAGAGAGAAATGGCACTTTTAAAATGCAGAATATCTTTAATGCAGATTCACTCACAAATCTAAGTTATGATGAAGGTTTTGCCATTCGCTGTTCTAACAGACCTGCAAGGTTTTGTATAATACTGTATTAATATGCAGGCAAATTCCACTACATGAGGAACACCTATGATTGCCACACTTGTATGTATTGAAATTGTGGAGTCTTGCCAGTGCTGGCTGTTGTATTTACTTTAAGCATTGATCACTTCTGATTCATTTGGTATGGTTTTTTCCTCTTCCTTGTATATGTTCTTCTATGAAGCGTAATAAGATACTACCAACAAGGTGAATGTTTTTGTCTATGGTACAGACAGTGGCCAATATTGGTAGACAGGACACAACAAAACAGGGCCCTAAGAGAAAAAAAAAATCTGAACTAGCAGAAGAAAAACAGTTCAGAGTGAAGACCCGTTTAGCAACTCATTTGCACTTGATTATTTAAGATTAATTCTCTTCGGACAAATAAACGTTTCCAATCTGTGATCTCCATTCGACACAGCACGTTACTTTCTATCCTTTTCACACGGAACAAGCGAAAATACAAGTTTATCAGGCAAGTTCCATGGAAAGTTGATGCACATCCACCTTGGGTAAAAGCAGACTGGTGGGTCTCTGGAGGAAAGTAGGTGTGAAGACAGAGCAGATGTGGATAAAGGGGAGAGAAAAGAGGGGCTCCATTTTATATATGTGTTGCTATTTTTTCTTCAGGAACATAACTGTGATCCCACTTGTTTCGCTAAGCAGCATTCTAAGAACAGCATGCTAAGAACTACACCATATGGAAATTCCATTGCATTAGAAATCCCCATTGTACCTTCTTAGTGTGTTTTTAATTAATAATAACCACTCAAATGTCTCAAAAGACTTCCTTAAATTAAAAAATAGGAGCATGATGTGATACATTTCAATAAATTCCAACCTTGAGGACAGTTATAAGCTTATAACAAGATATAGTAGCTCCTAAGCTGAATCTTTCCTTACTCACAGAAGAGACAATATTTGGAAAAAAAAAAAGTTTCACATCAGGGCCTATTATTATTTCTATTTTGAATATTTATACTGCTGCTCCAATGGAGCCAGTTGGATCTATTTCTACGAAATAGCCATTATCTATCCCCATGGCACAAAAACTGCATGACTGGTTTTTTAGGAACTTTTCCTGTTGACGTACATCAAATACTGTAGTATCGCAGCTTTGCATTGTATGTGTATCCTGAACTTTGTGCATTTTGCAAGAATATTCTGAAAGTTGCTCATTCCAAGTGTAAGCAAAGAGGTATCTTAGATGCACTGAACTGCTCTTACCTGTGCCATATTCTTACGAGATGTGATAGAATGTTTTCTTTGATTACCGTTTGAGTTGGATGTACTTGTGATCTGAAACCAAAGCACATGATACAAGCATGATTTGAAATTGAGGGCAGGTTGAGTGTGTGAGTTCTCATTTGTTTTTAAAAGAAAGAGCCTTTCAAACTGATAGCTTGATTAAAGCCCATGGAAAAATCTCCAAGACAAAAATGTAAGCACTTTTCTGTGCAAAGTTTATTCTGCGATCACTCTTCATGAAAGGTCTCCCTAAGGCATACAATAATAAGATTGCTTCATATGCTGACTGATACAGTGACTATTCACAGCTTTCATTTTGTTTTCCTTCCAAGCTTTCACTTTAGTTTTCCTTCCAAGCAATCGTAGACCATTTTTAATGAGCATTTCAAAGAGAGCTTAAAGAGTCTTCTCCCCAGTAGTGAACACCTCACTGCAGCTCTAACTTTTGACCTGATTTTGTCTAGGCTGACACCAAATATCTGATCCCATAGTTTCAACTCTGTTTGACACATGGTTAGCCCTCCCTTGACAGTGATTAAATGCCAAAATCTTGTGATGTGGGTGGTTTTAAGAGACAAAGGAAAGATTGCTTTTGCCCTGCCAAAGTAGAATTCTATACCTGCATTTTATTATTATTATTATTTTATTTTTAAGAAATAGTGCATTTTTTTGTAGTTATAGGTACCTACAACAGAAAATATCTCGCGTGGAGGGCATTTACACTAGTGTGGTTTGGGACATTTCTGTGTTTGTTTGACTTTGTGTCCTGAGCTGTGTCATAGAAGTTAGTGAATTTGCATGCTTTGGATTTGTGGCTTTTGCGCCTGTGAAACAGCAATTTATGCTAATTTTAAGCATTCAAATGCCTAACAAAAAATTATTTAAAAAACAAAGAAAAGAAAGTGGGAAAAACACCCACAAGTGCTGAGGACATAATGTTTAATGTCAGTGTAAGAACCGGAGGTTAACATCTAACGTGCAATGACAGTAGTCCAGATTTTCAATGACTTTTCCTAATAATCTGTAGAATAAAATGTAGGTAGCAAATACTGTTGGATACAAAAACTACAACTTTCTGGCTACTGACAGATGTTTCTTTTACCAAATTTATCTTTCCAAATTAAGTATGAGGACATGTCAGATCATGCTGCAATGTCAGGCCTTGTCTATATTCAGAGATACACCATTCATTTGATTCATTAATTCTCCTGCTCATCGAGAGTAGAGTACACACGTTGGATCAACCATTTCTAGAGAGCTCAGTCTCCTGTCAAGGTTGTGGCCTGCTCCATATTAAGGCTGTGGCAGGCGAAGTCAGAAGCCACAATATCCTTCCAGCCTGTGCAAGGCCATCCACCAGGTCTTCACCGTCCTGCTTTTGTTGAATCAAATGCATAAAGCTGGTGGACTGGTATGGACTCCAGTATATGAAGCAGATGGCCAAGCTAGCTGAGATGGTGTTGAGTCACTTGGGAAGACACTGGAGACTGATTGGTCTGACACCTGACATCCTCATTTAGAACATGATGAAACCACCATATACTTTCAATACGACGTTACTGTTTCATGTCGAAAGCATCCAGTTGGCACATTTGCATCTCTGTGGTGGCCCAGGTTTCAGAGCCATACAAAAGGATGGAAGTCACTGCTGCTTGATAGATACTCATCTTAGAGTTGATATGTGGTGTTGATGCCACAGAGGCTTCCAAAGAGCATGCATAACAACCTTGACCTTGCTGAGCTGATGTTTCATGTCAGCAAGGCAACCTCCCTCCCTAATGACGATGGAACCAAGACACTCAAATGCATTGACAAATTCAATCTCTTGCCCACTGATTATGATGGATAAGGGTAGAGGTCCATCAGCCCCTTTCATCAGTTTGGTCTTCTTCCAATTGACTTGAAGACCAGTCTTACTTCTTACTTGCTTCTTCCATAAATATATTCAGGGCATTGATGAGATTAGTATTTGAGGATGAGAGTCTAGCTGTGGTATCTTCATATTCTAGGTCTGCTATGCAGGAGTCATGCCAGTACCACCCCTGGTATGCGACTAGTGACAGTTTCCATCGTTCAGTCAATAACAGTATTGAGCATATCAGGGCAGCCAAGCATCCTTGATGGACACTGCTGTTCTACTCAAACCAGTTGGAGATCCTGATACCTAAGAGGACACAGCTCTCACTTTGGTAGTGTATTTCTATGAGAAGGTGGAAGAGCTTACCAGGCACACCAGCAGCTTGCAGACAGGGAGCAATGATCAACAAAGTTGGAGGCAGCGTTTAGATCAATAAAAGCTGTATACACCTCATATTCTCTGTGCCAAAACTCTTGATCTTTTCCAATAATTTGTCTAATGGTAAAAATCTGCGCTGTGATTGATCGGCTTGCTGTAGGTAGCGTAGATTCTTTATCAGGGGGTTAGCATGCTCACGAAGAATCAGCGTGAACAGTTTACTTGCAATGGAAAGCAAAGTCATGCTGCAGTGATTGGAACACACCAGACTATCGCCTTTTCCTTTCTAAAATGGGAGAATAATCCCATGGCTCCAGTCATCAGGTAGTTTCTCATGAATCCATACGTCATTGATAATTTGGGTCAGCCATCCTAAGATAGAATCCTGGCCATTTTTGATCAGTTCAGCAGCTATACCACAAACATGGGCAGCATGGCCATTCTTGAGCTTACAGGCTGCGCTTCAAACCTCCTTGACCGTGACATCCTCTACATTACATGGAGGGGCTCTCATTGGGCTCTTCACATCCTCCCGGAGATGTGGAGCTGCAGCTCTGATAGGATGGTTATAAAGCACCGGAAAATGTTTTTTCCATCTACTCAGACATTCTGCCTCAGTGCACACAACACATTACTCAAATGGAACCCAGAAGAGACGCCCCCTCTTCCCCACTGGCTGATGGAACCACCATTTTTGGACCTTTGCACACAATGTAGATTTGCAGTTTGGAACGTACCCTGAAAACCATTGGTACTCCTACCCTCCCAATTGAACCAGTAAGACAATGATTAACAGCAATCGTTATGTATGGTCAGGCCTCAGCAGTGTTGTCTTGGCCTTGTCAAGGAATGCTTGTAAAGCCCTCATAAGCTGATCTCCCATCTCCAAATGTATCATGTGGCAAGGACTTTCTTATAGACATGGCAACATCCCTGCCATTGATGCTTATGGCCCCACTTACCTTGCCAGTCAGGAGGACAAGGACCAATACTCATGAGCCATGTATTATGTCATCAGACGAGTATCCCCTCATGACAGTATCATTGCGCTATGTGATGCCAGCACTACACTGGGAGCCAATACTAGGAAAGCTTGGCCAGAAAGCATTGGGCGTTTTGTTGCGGATGCAATTGTGAACAGCAATCGTGAGCGACTGCTTGAACTTTGTACTGCAACTGGACTCCATGTTTCTGATACCAATTTCCAATGGAAGAACATACACACATGGACTTGGTATTCCAATGAGGGACAAACCCACAAAGCACTTGATCACATTCTCATATTTTAATTGGTGGAGAAGTTGTATGCACCACGATTGGGTGTTCAGGTGTGCTGAAGTGGTCAATATCGATCACAGGTTGCTCGTGGCCATGGTGGAACTGAGCTTGAAGGCAACTCAAACCAAGCCTTCCATTAGTCATTTAGACTTACTGAAATTGATTGACTGCTGCTGTCAAAATGGAATGCCAGCTGAAATCTGCAACTGATTTGACACTCTGGCCCTTGCAGAAGAAAGCCTTGAATAGGAGCAAGTCAACAATTTATGAGGCTCTTTCCAGTCTTCTGTTATGGATGCCATCAACAAAGTGCTGGGGAAAAGGCACCCCAGGCCTAAACATAAATGGATCAGTGAACAGACCCTGGGCATCAAAGAAAAATACCATGTGGCTTGCTAAAATGGGAACAATCAAGAATACCAATGCCCCAAAGCAGGACATTTGGGGCAAATAAGGCTCAGTTGATGGAAGCTGCATCAGCCAGAAATGACTGTGGGACTGTCTATAAAGAATTGTGCACCTTAAAAGTTGGTCCAGGGAACAAATCCTCACTTGTCAAAGATGGATGCTATAACACGCCAGTTTAACTTTAAAATGGTTTTAAAAACGATATAGTTAAATCAGTGCAAACTCAATGTGGACAGACATTCTTAATTGGATTTAAACCTGCCTTATAGCAATGAAACTTCATTTGGTAAAGCATTGGCTTAAGCTAAATCAATATAAGGTAGCTTTAAATCCAATTAAGAGCATCCACACAGGGATTTGCATGAATTTAACTGAATCAGTTTAAAATCACACATTTAGGTTGAAGTGATGCGAGTTTGAATACAGACATGGCCTTGGCAGCTTTGTTTCAAACATAAGGAATTATGCCTGGTAATGCGTGTAGTTTGAATAAGCTATGCAAATGCATTGGGTATATTGTGAGGCTCTAAGTTGAAAGAAAGATAAGTGTTTCCAGTGCCCTAAGACTCTGAGCGAAACCTTGGCGCTGTTGAACTCAATGGCAAAAATGTCATTGCTTCAGCAGGGCCAAGATTTCTTCCTATATGTCTTTACAACAGCACATCCTGTTGGTCTTAAAAACAGTTACACCTCTACCCCGATATAACGCTGTCCTTGGGAACCTAAAAATCTTACCGCGTTATAGGTGAAACTGCATTATATCGAACTTGCTTTGATCCACCGGAGTGCGCAGCCCCGCCCTCCCCCCATCTCCAAGAGCACTGCTTTACCGCGTTATATCCGAATTCGTGTTATATCGGGTCGCATTATATCAGGGTAGAGGTGTATTTAAAAATATGAATAAGTAATCAGACACAGAACTCTTTTTTTTAAGCCAAATCAACAAACTAGTTCTTTCTAATACAGCTTGGCACAAAGAAGGAGATTGCACATGGAAGTGTTATAGGAATTAGGAACTGTAGGAGCCTGAACTTGGAGCATATTTCACTTGGAGCAAATTCATTCACTTTATCCCTAGCTCTGCTGACTCATTGGACAGACAATCAAAAGTTTTTAAGTTTCCAGAACTGGAGTTGTAGCCAAATTTATGCCACGGGGGGAAAGGCAAGGTATGCCCAACGAGGCAAGCATGGAAGAAAAACACATTTTTGTTTTGTTTCTTTGATCACACATCAAGTGGTCTAATTTGTAACATTTGGCTGTGAATCTAACTCTATCCACTTCTAACAGCCCACTAACTATGCCAACTCTTTGAAGCGTGCGTGGAGCCAGCTAATTTCATTTCAAAAGCTTTTAGTAACAGAAGCACAGTTCTTGTAAGGTTCCAAATATTTTAATAGTTTTTCATTGTAATTTTAAAATGATCAGTAAAACAAGTTTTAAAACTTCCACACCAAAAAAACAAACAAACCCCAAACCCCTACCTATTTTGTTCTTTTCAACTGAGTAGTACTTGAATGTGCTAAAATTAACATGGAAGTTTTTAATAATAAACGTGACTTTTTATAGCAAGTTGGAGAAATGAGGTTCAGTGTTAAGTACCTGAACTTTCATGGACAATCATTATAGGCACAGAAGTTTGTTCAAATGCTGAATATTTTCCCGTTAGCCTTGTGGTTTCAGATCAGCATATCTGTGACAGGTAAAGCAGGTAATTTAGGAGGTCTCTGTTATTGGGTCCCATAGAGCAGTGTACAGATTTCATAATAGAATCAGCTGTAAGGTTGTTACAAATCGTATCTGTTTCTTTCTTACCTCTTCTTGCAAAGAAAAAATGTCTATCAACATAAATGGGCTTCATCAGCGATAAGAAACCTAATCTTAGTTACTATGTTACTAGAAGTGTCCAGGTAAAATTCTACTTACAGATAGATTTAGATTTGAACATAAGTAACTGATACTGGATGGTTTTGGTAAAACAATTCTTTGGACAGATGATCTGTTTACAAACCGTTGTCTACCTACAGAATGGCAAGATTATAAGGATTCATGCCAAATTTTTGAGCCGTTACACTAGATGAGAGCCTTAGGAAAGAACACTCCTTTACCTTCACTATTAACAGAAGAGGCAAGAAAAGAATGCAATTGCCAATGACATTAAGTTAATAACATCAGGAGTATTTTGAACAGAGTAGCTGTTTTGAAGTTTCGGTACTTCCCTAGTTTTAGATTTCATTCTTCACATTTAATATACATTACCTGAATGTTACCATCTTTGAGAATGAGCCAAATGTTTTGATTCCTATCAAGAGTTGCAGTTATAACTCAGGCAGATGTATACAATACAGTTTCATTTTGACGGGGGTCAGGCTGCAGTTACTTTGCTGTTCAGCAGAGCGTTAGAGGGAGATAACCACAATCAGAATAGAGTTTCTGATAATGTATTTCCTTTCAGTTAGCCATGACATTATGGAAAAGAAAAATGTGCTTAATGTTCCGCTGTTGTTGGTTTCTGAAATTAGATAGGCTTAAAGTATTGGAGGAGAGGGGGTGCCCATAGACATGATTCAGCCCAGTGTCATGATGGTACTTATGGGCTTAACGCCACACACAGTGCTTCTGAGGCAGCCAGCGCATCAGGAAAGCTTGTCTGGGAACCTGCAAAGACACAGTGAAACCCCAAAAATGTGTGGCATTGAACAGGGATGGGGCATGACTAGTATAGCTGATTTTGTGTAGCACACATCCCCCCTCCCCTCTATCAGCAGCACTCCTGTGGAGGTCCAACCATAACTTAAAGTTCTCTCTCCACCCAGGACCCTGAGGTTCATTGGGGTAAATGCCCATAAGGATATAGGGGGCCAGGCTGACACAACATGGTGTCATTTACACCTCCCTATGGGCCTGTTCCAACTTCCATTACAGGCTCTGACAGGAGTCCCATGTACTATAATGAGAATTGCATCAGGCCCTAAAGCCTCAATTCAGCAGAGCATTGAAGCACGTGCTTAAGTTTCAAGGAAGTCAATGGAGCTTAAGCGTGCACTGAAAGCTAAGCATATGCTTATGTGCTTTGCTGAATTGGGGTCTAAAGGTCAGGTTCAGTGGATCTAACCCATTGGCATCAGTGATTTTTTTAAAGTGTTTCAATGAATACAGTGTCTGCACCATAGTCGTGTGGATTTTATAAACCGTGGATGCAGTAACGTATACCCATTCCAAGTAGTGCTGTAGAAAAAAGTCATTCAGTGATGAATGAGCAGAATACAAGACTCCAGCAAGGAGAGTCTTTACCGAATGTGCCTTTGACTGAAAAGAGAGAAGTGACTTTGAAAGGCTTTGTAGATTTTAACTAAGAGTGAACTACTGAGCAAGCTTTTTACTCTTTATAGTATTCTTTAGGAAAGTAGATTTTCCCTGTTAAGTTTTGCCATGAGTTGGCATATCACATTCCTGGATTTTGCTACACAAATGAGGCAACATGTCGGAATGTTTTCGGCAAACATGGCCTGATCTTAAGCCCACTGAAGTCAATTGAATTCAATGAGCTTTGGGTCAGGCCCACAGTCAGGAAAATCAAGAATGCTTATTACTGTTTTCTCCTACAGATAGATCACAATTCAGCTGGTCTGATTAGCAAAGTTTGTGTGTCACTGTTCATTTGATTCTGAGTGATTCATAAATACATAAAAGGGTGTGAGAGAGCACATGCTATACGTTCAGTAAGCTTGGCAGTTTCTCTGTATTCCAAATGTTCGTTGACTGACTTGGAGCTCTTTGTTGCATTTTAGTGTTTATAGCCTAGTTTGGAGGAGAAAAGAGATTTCTGGTACGGCTGACAAATTTTGGCCTCAGGTACTGCAGTGATAGTTACCCCTTTTCTCCTTCTGTGTATATGGCTGCATCGGTAGGTGTGGAGGCTAAGATATAACATAAGAGAAGAATCCTGGCCCCACTCAAGTCAATGGGAGTTTTGCCATTGATTTCAAAGGAGCCAGGATTTAACACAGAATGTTGAAAGCACTCTTATGATAACATTCTAAGGTGAAGGTTCACCCAAAGTCTGAGTCCAGTCGTTACTTACACATACAGACCCATTTGAGTCCATAGGATTACTGTAGGAAGGGCTACTCTTGTGATTGAGAGTTTGCAGAACGAGTCCTTTATCAGTACAAGTCTCATTGTCCCTGATGCTGTTCAGGACAGTCTTTGTCAACTGAGGAAAGGTTAGTTTCCTTTAGTCGGATAGGGAATGCACCTTGCAATTTATTTATGAAGGTCCTTATGGGGTGGGTGGTACAGAATCCATCCACCAGTCTCAAAGCTATAAAATGAAGTCTATAGCACAGGAAAATGTCATCCCTGTTGTAAGAGTAATAGAGTTACACCAAGGATGACTATAGCTCCATGTCATAATATTTGTAGCAAATGATAATAATAACTGAACAAAAATATGTGGGGGGGATGGAGTGGGAGAAATACATTTCATAGCACGGACGCTCTTGAATGTTTGAAGGGTGAAGGATCAAATTTCCCTATAAATATATGACCGACTGCACGTCCCACCACATTTTTAGGACACAACAACCCGAGTGATGGCTGGTTGGTCCATAGACCATTATATCGGAAGACTTCTGATATAGTTTGAGAGGTGGAGAATTTGAAAAATTAGCAGATGTAAAATAATGTTGGGCAAATGCTGTGGATTCTGTTTCAAAAGCAGCTTCCCCTCTGAATCTGGTTGGTTGCTTGTAGATGGGTATTATTGGTTTCCTTGTGTCAAAAGGATGTGAGTTTGTGCTCCCATAATCCCTTTATTAAGTATAGAGTCAGCCTGTGGATTTAAATGTTTACAAGTGCACTACCTAAGGCAGAATTTATGCATTGGACTAACAGAAATAGGAGGCAGTTTTGGGCCCAAGAATAGGTGAGAGAAAATGCAGAGTGGACCTATTGCTTCAAGTACCTGTCTCGATACCACGCTGGTGTAACTCACAGTGTACCCCTACACTGCACATGTTCATTGAAACATCAGCTCATTACACAGGCCATTGGAATCCTCTCCCAAAATCTTTTCCCAAAGAGAAATCAGTGTCTCTTCAAAGTGAAATTTGCACAATAGGCAGGTATTTTATATCCGATCCTCTTCCTGGGGATCCCTGTTTTGTTCATTTCTAAACAGACAACATGCTTTGTCCACTGTAAGCGAGTGAAGTGGACAGGATCCTGGCTTTTTTATAGACAAAGACCATGATTACACTATGAGCGTTACTGATTCAACTGAATGATTATAGTTTTGACGTGGATATTTTGAGCTTCCTGAAGCCAGGCCATCCCATATTTAACTATATTCATTAAAGGATTTGGTCATGAATATGACAGATTTTGGGCCTTATTTTTTTAAATTTTTAAACAAAGATTTATATTATGTACTTTAACCCAGTATATTCTCTGTCATTTAAACAAAGCCCTGTGGTAGCTGGCTGCCATGTGAATAGGAAAAGAAATCTATTATGGCTATTGAGAAGACAGAAACTGATGTCAGTATTTAAGATACTTACACACACGCACACACACATTTTTTGTAAGTGCAAAAGATGGTTACTTGTTTTTAATTTGTTTCCATGTTTGTATCAGCAAGTAAATATTAGCGTTGCATGCCAATCATATATGTATCTAAGAAATATAACAGGACAAGTCGAAACAGCATATCTTTGTAAATTCAATAGTATTTCCAATTATTGTTATACTACTATGCTAAATTCTAGTTCCCTTTCCTGAATGTAAGAAAGTTTTTAAAAAATGATCAAAGAGGTCAGGAAATTGTGCACTGAAATATTTATAAACTTATTTATTTATTTCTCTTACATGAAGAATTACGCCCCTGAATCAGGAAAGCATTACCTTGTTCAGGAAGAACAGTTAAAACCCAGGGCAGTCAATGGAATTTAAGCCCACGCTTAAAGTTAAGTGCAGGCATCGGTGCTTTCCTGAACCAGGACCTAAAGTTGGAGCTGTTTAAACACATTAGTACCATTCTTTTGAACTTCTGTGAAAAGCGGTGAGACATTTAATTTACTGTGATTTTTTAATCAGCTTGCTGGTCCCCTTCCTGCAACCTGTATGGTGAGGGTAGTTATCGAACATTGAGAGAACCTGAAAAATGTCTCTGTGCTGGTCACTTGTACTGATCGCTGGAGTAGAAACGCGTAAATATCAAACCTTCACCTCCATCTGTCAATCTATCATATTTTGAGGGCAACCAGACCTGTTTTTTCTGAGCACCATTTACAGTCATTAAAATTTACATTTCGTGAGGTGCCAACAGGTATTTTATAAAAGATCTTCCTTTCCCAAGTTTGCATTAATTTCTTCCGAAAACTGTTTTTAAAAAAAATTCTAATTGACATCAAGTTACATGTGATGAGCTCCATTTTTATAACATGAAAATAAATGTTTGGGTGCAGATTATCCGCCGGTGTAAGTTGTCATGGCAACATTGACGGAGCAATGAATCAGCGCCTTGAAATCTTGCAATAAAATGCTCTTGCTACTCGCAAACATGCAAGTGGGTACCCTCATTTCAATAAACCTGTTTTTTCATGTAGGTCAGTACATCTCCATTCTAGGAGGATGTATCACCTGGCATTGCTGTCAGGGGGAATTATGGTAGAGCTCAATGTGGAGGAGGCAAGGAGCAGTGCAGGAGTCTTCGTAAGAATGGGACAGTGGAGAGGAAAGGTCAGAATTTTATGCTTGAGGAAGCTCTTAGACACTTGGGTGTTATTCATTTTAGGAAAAAAGCCTGCAAATCATAATCAGCCTGAATAATCAGTCTGATTATGAAGCAAGAAAATTGCATAAAATGAACCTCCATTTATTGTAGAGTTCATGACTCAACTGAATTCTTCTTCTTAAGTTCTCACAGAAAACATCTTTCTTTCTGGTAGCTCTCCATAGTGAGTCTAAATCTTCACGTACAACATATATTTCTTTGTATCAAAATTGGGATTTGAAATCAGAACATTCCTAGATAAACTAAAACTCCAGCTAAAATATTGCATTTCTTGAGATCTTGAAAAAAGACAAAAATTAATTCTTGATATCTTGGTCATTAAAGCTTTCTAATTTTAAAAATGAATGACATATCAAAAGGGCACAGCAGATAAATACATGTTTTATACAGCACAAGTGGAGAGCAAATGCAAAGGAAAGTAAAACTGCATTATGAAACACAGATTCTTGTGTAATGAGAATGTTTGCAAGTTTTTCAAGGATTGCATTTATGTTGTGATGTGTCTGAAATAATATTTGATCTTTACAGTTCACTTACCAGTTCTGAAAAAGGGTTTGGTTTTGGTTTTTCCAGTAACAAGTACTGTATTTCTTTACCAGGCAAAATGGGGAAGATGAGTCCAAAATATTGCATGCGTCAGACTTGATTCTTACTTTAGGTAAATAAGTGTGTATCACTGATCATGAAAATCTACTGTGCACATGTGTCAGTCTAGACCTATATACCTTAGAGACGAATTGCACCCTTGCAATTACTGAATTCTCAGGGCCAAATTGTGACCAACTTCCTCATAAGAGAAGCCTCACTGAGTTCAACATCTACTCTCATGAACAAGGAAGTCACAATTAGGCTCTTAGGCCTAGATCCTCAAAGATATTTAGGTACCTAACTCCATGGTTAGCTGATTAAATAAGTTTAAGAACTACTTTAATCCCCACAGTGAAATACAAGATGGAAAATAAGCTAGAAGAGACATATTCCCCTCTCTGGCAGTGCCCTGTGTAATGTCAAATTCCCCAGTAAAATGGTGAAACCATGGAAGTGTTCTCATGATTAGAAAGCACAAGCAAAAATTCAAAAGGGTGTGTACACACAGGAAGACAGTACTGGTGCTTTTTTTAGTGCATTGTTATGTATCCAGAAATAGGCACAGGATAAGCAATTCTATGGGGTGAACTTCACCGCTGTGCAGAAAAGCAGTACAAGGCTGATGAGACATTTAAACCCATAAATAGGATTTAAGTAGGATTTACGTGCCACATAAGCCTAGTACTAACCCTCTGCAGAGAGGTGAATTTCAGCCATCATAAGTAGCAGTGCTTTCAGGGTCAGATGTTCATTAGCACTCAGCATCCCGACAGCTCCCATTTAGGCACTAAATAAATGGATGGCTTTAAAAAAACTAAATGCTGGGCACGCAGTGACTCCCATTGAAAGTAACGAGTGCTGCCGAGTGTGAGCCCCTTGATTTTTTTTTAGTGGCACTGGCTTGACAGCACATGCTTCTGTGGCTAGAATGAGTTTACAATTACATTGTTGTAAGAGATAAAGAATAATGTAATGTATTCCCTGGAACTCTTAAGGAAAACTTTTTTGTTTTGCTAACCTTGCTAAAGTCTCTAGACCACTGAATGCAGTCTCTGGTGTGGCTTTTTCTAAACTAAACAGTGATCAAACTGTATAGCTTTCCTTAAACTCTTGTGTGCATGCTTAATTTTCTACTTAATGGTGCATCAGAAGCACAGCAATAAAAGTGATTGATCTGAACATCTTTTATTCAAATAACGTCATCTGGGTTCTTTTCCATTGAGTTTGAAGACTCCATGATGCTTCTAACCATAATGAAGAAAATGTAGGTGCAAGTGAGTGTAAATCTGAAATGCACACAACATATAGTTCACTTATAGCAGCCGGGGCTCACCAGCAAGGAGAAAATTCAACTGTTTATAGTAATAAAGTTCTATTCCAAATAGCGTCTTATTAACGTGCTTTTGAAATGTCAAAATGGCGGCGCCACAGACAAAACATTTGTTACCTTTTCAGATAAGTTACAATAATTTTGTCATCCTTGTACAAGTATTATTGTCTGTCTTTCTGTACATTTGTTTTGCAATTTGTTATAGAGTATTACTTGTATGCATAGTTGTTCCACTTGCCTGTGTCAGTTAGAAATTTAACAGAAATGAGAGCATGCATTTCTCTATTTGCTGGTAACCTATGAATTAGAAACTTGTATTTTCTGTGTTTTTCAAGTGTTATAACTATAAACAAAAATTCACATCACTGTTGTCTAAGGAATATCAGAAAGTTTTAATAGATTGAATTACTTTACATGTTTTGTCATTTGATTTGATACTGTGTCAGATATCTACACTAAGACAATACGTTTTATCAATAAAAAAAATCTTCTCTTGGTACTAACTTAACACTTTAGGGCACATTGTGACAAATAGAAAATCAACTGTGGGTCAGTATCCTACTTTTTAATTTTCTGACTTATTCTTCTAAGGACACCCAGTACCATTGTTTTGAGCTGAACATTTGAATAAAAAAAACCAGGGAAAAGAAATGTAGTAGTATTTATACTTTACATTCCCTTCACTATTAAATTTTCACCCTCTGGGACTTCAGAAGCTCTGTTGGACATAGTGCGGAAGGAGGCTGCTAGATTGTATGTATCTGACTGCCATATAGAAAACAGACACTGAGGAATGTTATTTGCCTAATAGATGGCCAGATTCTGCTCTTTTACATCCATATAAATCTGCAGTCATTCCACTGAAGTTAATAGAGTTGCTCCAGATTTACCTTGCTTTAACTTGGAACTGATCTAGTCCAATATCTTTGTTTTGGGACCAGTCTTGCACCACTGATGTTGATGGCAAAGCTTTCATTGACTGCACTGGTGCAGATTCAGGCCCCATGGAGCCAACCTTAGAAGACAAAACTTAGGAGGTTCTATTAGTACAGCAAGACTTGTTGTAATCAACTTTTGTTGGGAGCCAAGCTTCAGTACCCTGTGAAAAGGAATATTATAGATAGGAAGGGTTGTACATACTTCTGGAATAGTGAAGTACCAGTAAGTAACTTGAAGAGGAGCAATTTTTGTCTTCCATGAATGAGTCAGACAGTAATTTCTTCAGGTATAAAAAAAAAAATACGGTGATGACAATGTTATTATGTAGGATAGCCCTGTGATCAGATGGAATTTATCCAGTGTACATTCTGCCCTGCACCAAAAAGAACTTGGATAAAGGTTAGATTTCTCTTGTCCCTATTCAAAATGTTGCTTGGATCTCACAAAACATTGACATGTACATTTGCCACACCTGAGCTGTCCCATCCATGCAAGGACCACAAAACTGCTCATCTTTCACATGGTCTCTGCATCTCCCGACTTGTGGAATTTGTCTCTCTGGTGATGCTGATCTCTGTGGACCTTCTTGGAAAGCGTTGGTCATTGGGAATGCACAAGCTCTCCCTTTGCAGCACCAAGGATTCAGAGCCATAGTTATCAGTGCCAAGATCTCCTTGGATATGAGATCTGACTCTCCTCTGCCCTCAAGCACCAGGATAAGAATAAGCAGAGCTCAGGGATAGTCTCCACAGCATGGGACTGGGTGTTATCACAAAGGAGGAACAGCACCTGCAGCCAGGGAGCTCAAGAATAGATCAAAAGTTTCTGTTCCAAGGGCACCTCCCGCCCTTACAGTAATAACAATGCCTAGGACTCTGACAGCTGTCCCTGTTTGGGTGACAGGTTCTTTGTGGCTTCTACTCAATATAATTCTTTATTCATGGGCAGCAGTGTGGCCTACTGGATAGTGCACTGGACAGGGGTTCAGGACAGTTGGGTTCTATGCCCAGCTCTTCTACTGACCTGCTGGGTGACTTTGGACAAGTCACCTCACTTGCCTGTGCCTCAGTTTCCCCATCTGTAAAATGAGGGTAATGTTACTGACCACTTTGGAACGTTCTTTGAGAGCTATAGATGAAACATACTGTATAAGAGCTAGGTAGTAGTATTCCAGCAAGCTGAATAGGTCTCATCAGAAATGTCCGGTCCACATGCTGACTTTGGCTTTTCTTATCATTTATCCTTTCCCTAAGAGGTTGGTTTAGGGCTCTTCACCTATCAGGCTAGCTTGTCTCAGATACTTTTGTGTGTGTGGGTGACAGCCACTACCACAACAAAGTCTTTCCTTTGGCCATTCTGAAGCACCACAGCTGTTCCCCAGTAGTGGCTGTATATCTCTTGCATCAGGAAGGACCCATATACCCCTACATGGACAGCTTGCTGGCTGATTCAAGCTTACACAAGTTTACACCCTTTGAGAAGTCCCTGGCAAGGATAAATTATCTGTTTCAGTCATGTCCATGAATAAATGGAGAATAATCTGCCTTGATGTTCTTCATCAATTCAAGACAGACACAGACTGGGGAAAGAATTGGTGTATGCATTTCCAGTCGTTCTGCTGGTACTCTAGAAAGTGGTTGGCAGAGGGCCCAGGCCAGTCTGATGGCTCTGTCTTAGGCCAGACTATGTTGGTGCACAAATCTGCAGGGACACCCCATTGGACACCCCATGTGGTTTTTCACTCTCACTAGACCTTTTGACTCAGGAAAATCTAGGTTCACATCCTCATTTGGAGCCACTCCACCTGGCTACTTAGCTCAGGGGACATTAGCTCAATGGACTCGGTCTTAAAGGTGCGCTGCAAAGGGCTTAAAAAAAAAACCCTGGGCTTAGGCTGTTATTTTATTCTCTATGATATATAAGAGCCTGGAAGTTTGGGGAGACAGTATTTATTACTGTTGCTTTTTTAACCATAGACATATCAGAAACATCCAGACTGGTCTTTCCTGGTTTTGCTGGAGAACCTTTGAGAGGTGTCTCTCTCAGGGATGTTGATTGTAAGTTCTAACACTTTAACTGAAGGAGCAAGAGTGTTGAATCTGTAACAGAACTTTCTTAAGCCAAAATATTAATCAGTCGCTGAAGTTTCATAGGTGTAAATAAAACACAAACTACAAACAAAGTTTTAAGCATTCTCACTCAAAAATACCTTCCTCACCCAGCCTCTTAACTTCTGTCATGTCACCGTTGCACTTATTCTCCAGTCAAAGTCTTCCAGCCTTGACAGGACCTGAATTTCTAGGGTTACACACTCACACACACATGCAGGAAGGAAAAACTAGGGCACAACCCCATTTTATTTGTCTCTTTGAAGGTCACCTTTAGCCTACTCCATGGAGGTTCAACCTGTATTTTTGTCATCTGCTTTGAAATGTTACTCCCAGAAACTCTCCCAGAAAAGGCCTCTCTCTCTAGAGGTGGCAGATAACATCCATGCTCTGCCACATTGATTTGGGGCTGTTTATTACACCTGAAGTATCTCTGCCTCTGCGTGTCATGGATCAAATTGCACCTGTCTGTAGCCTCATCATACAGCCTCCAGTTGACAAGGTCTTCAGCCATCTCAACATCCTGGAGCACCTCAAAGGGCTAGTTAATTATTTCCTCTGTTGCCTTTTTTTTTCACTGAAAAAAAAAAACATCTGCAAGAAGTGTTAGATGCAGATTTTGATGATTGGTCATCCAATCTCTTTATTCTACAGGGACAAAGTTGCCCTATATTCACATCCAAAATGTAGTGTCTGAATGCACCTGGACCAGAATGTCAATCTGGTTTTCCTTCCAAATCCTCATTCTCACCCAGAGGATACTAGGCTCCATACCCTCACCAGAAAGAAGACTTACATGATTGTTTATTTGGGTAGGACTAAGGCCTTTAGGCAATCACCTGAACTTTTAGTTGCGTTTGGGGTTCTATAAGGGGAGTGCAATTTCCACCCACTCCCTATCAAGGTGGAGTAGGCTTGGCACTGATCCTTGTTCTACCCAGGCAAGAGCATTGGTATCTGCAGGTTTTAGGCCTCATTTGACCAGGACTAAAGCAGCATTGACAGCCTGTCACTAGTGTTCCAGTTCCAGATATGTGAAGGGCTGCTACCTAGAGTTCTGCACACAGCTCTGCTCTCTCACCTTGGCAACAGAGCTGGTGCTTGTTTTGGGAGGGGAAATCTACAATACTTGTTTAGTTAGAACACCTCAGTCCACCTTCCTGGGGGCTGTACTGGCAGCTAGACTCCCACAAGTGAGAATAGACAAAGGCCACCTTGCAGAAGAAAGAGTTATTACATACCGGTAATGGTGGCTCTTGGAGAGTGTTGAACTTGTATATTCACACGCCCTGCCCACTTCCTCAGGTTTCTGCTCTCTGGGACTATGTGATTTTTAGCAGAAGAAACTGAGGCAGTTGGAGACCTCTCAGCCCATTGTAACCTCAGCTCCTACCATTTGGTGCTGTGAGGTAGGGGCTCTCATGCAGTCCCAACAGGCTGTCTAGAAAGTTCCAGAAGCTCATTAGCAAATGGGTGGCCACATCTCCCAAGTGGGACTATGCAGAAGCAAGACTCAAGGGGAAACCCTGGGTACCCTTTTTTGTGGCTGTTGCTTCAGTAATTATCTCTCCTTAGACCAGCTCAACATCTGCCCCATTTCCCTTACATCTGCTCTAATTGGGATGGAGTGCCTCTTAAACCGCCTGTCCGTCACGACCAAGCATGCTCTGAAATTGGTGTGACCCTCTCTATAGGGCCAACCAAATCACTAGAGATGAGCAGCATGGAATATTAAAAACAAGCAAATACCACAGTGTTGAGAGCAGGTGCAGAGAAACCACTTCAGAACTAAGCAGTCACTCTATGCCTCTCACACAAGAAGATTTTACAAGCGATCCTTTTTAGAGAATGCATGAAAATAATGCAGCATACTTAAAGTATCAGCTGTGGTAAAAATGTGTCATGCAAATAGCATTGAAAAGAAACTCAGTTATATTTCTTAAATCAAAGCTTTGTCTGCTCATAGAATCATTTGCTTTAGTTGCAGAGAAAGCTGGTTTTCAGCATTATATTTCTTAATGTTGCAGAGCAATGCCATCTGGTGCATACACACATACTGGTGAGTATTTTTCCCCCCTTAAATTGGATAATAATATATATTAGATCTGGGTGGGAAACAGTTTTTCTGTACTGGGAAAATTTGAGATTTCAAACCTTTTTCCGATCCCAAATTGGGACAAAAAGATGAAATCTCAAAAATTTTTGCAACCCAATAATCTGAGGAAAAAATTAGTTCGGGTCGATTAAAATGTTGAATTTCAGTAATTTCATCATTGTTTTGTTGTGCTTTCAACTTTTTATTTTTATTACC